CCCCCCCCTCAAACAAATTTACTTATAAAAACTCGAGAAACTCGGAATAAAAGTCTGGCCTTATTGTTTGATATAAAATAAATGCAAAATTAAACAGATCTTAATCGTGAGCAAATGTTTTGCAAACTTTATCAATAAAAATACAAATGAAATGTTAAAATTAGTTTTCAATTTGTTAGCACCACACAATGAGAATATCACTGCATTATCTAGTATAAGATCTTGAAGAGTGTCTATCCTTTGCACTTGTGTTCAGCAGTCTATATACTGAATGAAATATAAAGCTAGTGGCATTAATAAATTTATAGCGAGCGAAAGAAAATGTATAAAAATACACATGCAGTGAAAAATGAGAGTACTATAATGTAGATACTGGTATCAAATACGCCAATGAGGAGATCTGTTATTTTAAAAAAACACTTAGTATTCATGTTCCTCTATTAATAGAAGTACTATATTAATCTTGGGGTCCCTTGCATAATAGTACAACAAGAACCTTATCAGTTTCCCAATACAGAAATATATAAAAACAAAACTTAAACATACTGGCCAGCATTTCAACAAGAAAAGTAGTGGATGTTTTGTGGCAGGAAAAATGATTTATACTACGTAATGAAAAACAATTTGGTTATTGTACTATCTAGGAGAGCCTACTGACACCTTTGTTCTATTTATAAACAGTATAAATGTTAATTCTGTGCACTAATATCAATTTTCAACAAATTAATTCTTTTAACCAAATCAAACCACCATCTTGAAAATTATATGTGCTAGTCACACAAAAATTGAACACAGTGGCTATTTTATGATTGGCAAGAATAGCTGGTTTGAAGATAATCAGATTAACCACAAGAAAAGAACAATTTCAAGTGACATTACACCAACTTGAAAAATGTGCATACAACACATTGCATACATCCAATTATTGCTAGTTAATAAAATATTCAAGTTTGAAAAAGATTTAATAAAAAAATTGTTAAGTTTATGCTGGAGACTTACCTTTCACCCCCCTCTCCACACATCTTCCCCTTCATCTTATGATGATTGGGCAATCTTAAAATATCCCAATTATACAGCTTTTCAAATGTTAAAGCATAGTGGTCGTCGCGCTGCGCATGTGCGACATTTGTGTTGATAAACATTGATTTTCCCCACAATTCAATGCGTTCTTCAAATGGAAATCACAAGTGTGATGTTCGATTTGGGCGTGACTTGCACTGAATACCGCCGGCGACTCTTGACACCTAAAAACACCTAATTAAAGCTTGGAAAAGTCTCAGTACTCGTTGATCTGTGCAACGGTCAAAGTCACCATCTTTGTTTATACGAGACCCATATATCTCGCGCATGCGTGGCGCGGCGACTACCATCCTTTAATGTCCAATTTGCAAGTTCATGCACAGATATGAATTTACTCATATTGATTACAGGTGGTAGATAAAATAAGCCCAGCTTGACCCGATCCAACCCAAACTTTGATAGCACGGCAACAACTAAGGCAGCAAGCTATACACCCCCCTCCCAAGAAATCTATTTTTGCAATACTGACAAAAAATCTTGCACACAAGTTCCTAAGGTTTAATAAGGTAAAGATTTGGGTCAGTAACGTTGATTGACAGAGAAACACTAACAAAACTGCAACAATTGGCTGCAAAGTTGGCAATCATGAATTTGATCTCAAAAAAACCTGATATGCATCTTACATTGTTTGCAACCCACAAACACACCCACCCACCCACCAAACCAAGTTGCAGCACTGCTTCATGTGCCAAATTCCTGTCAGTCAGCAATATTTGATAAGATTGAAAACAAAATTAATGTGCAAATGTATGACATGTCCACTTTGTGTACTAAGTTTGTAAAGAATCTGTCAATGCAATATTCCCAGTTTTCAGACTGAGATAAGTGGAGTGAAGCATTACCTGTTTAACTATATATTCATTTATACTTTACTGGGCACCAAGAAAAGTACATACAATGACAGCAAAACTAAAATTGTGTTATTGACTTTGATTCCTTCTATTCAAGAAGAATTGAATAATCTTTTAGTACAATTAAATTACACATGCTATTCCCATCTTTGAATGGAAGTCCACAGACACCTTTCAAGTCAAGTGTCATGACAATGCTGAAAATACTGTTAAAATATTGTTTTCCATCTAGCCCAGTTAAACTTTTTTTCACGCAGTTTGAAAAGAGCATGAAAACAGTACACAAGGGGGAGGGGGTGTTTTTTTTTGAAAATTAAACTGTGCTAAGAAACATTGTAAAACTTTAAATTCAGGATATGCTTAGGTAATTTGGAATGTACTTGTAATAAACTGTCTGCAAAACACAACTCGCCCCATGTACCAAAAAAGATGGAGTTCACGTAATCTGTAGCACATCAAGAGACTTGTGCTGTTAACAAAAATCTTGCATTAAGTGTTAGAGATGGTTGCTGTCGACTTTTCAGGGAATGGTTTGAAAAGAAAGTGCAGTTTCTGTTACCTATTCATGTAATAAAAACATAACCGTTTTGCTAGAAAATTCTTAATGTTGTTTCTCACTAAAACTTTTTTTCATATCAATTTTAACAAGACTCAATACACAATCATGCAAATGTTTTTTACAATATTCAATTCTCAGCATGTCTAACATAAATGTCTGCAATTCAGAAACAATTTTACTATTTTGTCCTTTGCATCATTTAGGGGGGGGGGGTGTCAGACATGAAACAATTAGATTTAGAGTAGATATACATCCAATTTTTATCTCTGCATTTAACACACCCTTTCCAATAAATCTAATTTCGTATTGCCAAAAAAATTGTGGACACAGAAGTCTTGCAAT